ACTTCTAACCAAATCAGGCTCTAATCATTTGTAGAAATGTACCCTATGCAAGCACCACCTACACTCCTAACCAATTTTGTCAGCACTTATGAGCATTATTCATGTTTTCAAAGCAAACAAAGCCTTATCAACTAATCTACGCTACACAAATGATTGGACATAAAATTGCGACATTTCGCCCCACCTTGGTGTGATCTTCAAAACGACGAGTAGTCTTGCCAGCAGCCAAATCCCACAAGCGCAAAGTCTTGTCCCACGAGCGAGACAGAGCGTAGTTACCATCAGATGAACGCACAACATCGCTCACGAAGTGTGAATGGCCGTACAAACGCTTTTGTGGGAAACCGTAGTTGGTGTCTTCATCGCGTGTCAATTTCCATACGATAAGCGTCTTGTCTGCAAGTAAATAGGTAACGTAGGATAAGTACAAAGTAAATTTTAACCAAAACTAAGGAATTAATCGATTCTAAAACGATTGAGTTTCCAAAAAAACTTAACCTCAAATGTTACAAACGTCACACAATGGTCACTTACCACGAGAAGCAGAGATAATGGTATCGGGATTCTTTGGGTTGGTGGCGATTTGTGTAACCCAGCCGGTGTGTCCAACAAGGGTACCGCGCAATTGCAGAGTCTCACTCATTTTCAACGAATTTAACTAATTTTCTTGCGGAGCGCAACGAAAATACAACTCAACCTTTGGAAGGTTTTTTGGAAAAGAAGGAAGTTGGCTTAGGGATGTTCCGATACAAGTAAATACGAGTATGTACTCGATACTTTTGTTTCGATACCAACTACTTTTTTTACTCGAATCGTTGTTTCGATACCTACCTGGTATCGAAAGAAAAGTACTTGTATCGAATCGATTTGAGAAAGTGCCATATCCTGTCGATAATATTTTTTCTATGGAAAATAGTTGCTTCGTTTTCATAAAAAAAAAATGTTTTAAGCAATTACACCGCCAAATTCTAAAAGGTGGATATATTTTTACAAAGTTAGTGATACCACAACAAAGTGTAAGCAATCTTTATAGCCGTAAAGTTTTATGGGATCCTTTCAAAGGTTGAATTTTTTGTCTAAGTAATCGTATTACTTTAAGTGCTACTAAAGAAGAAATATACAAATCGATACCTCAACTGCAAATACATATATTGAAAATATTTGAGACAGGGCGCTTTTGAACCGAATTCTGAAATAGGGTGTTCTTGAAAAGTTTTCTGAGATAGGGCGTTTTCCGATCAAATTCTGAAATAGGGCGCTTTTGAAAAGTTTTCTGAGATAGGTCGTTTTCGAACTTTCTTCCGAGATAGGTCGATCTTCCACTCAGGTGCCGCAAAGCTTTATGTCACAGAAAACGCCTGAAAATTACTTTCGCTTTGTTGAATTTAAAAGGATGAAAAATTATCGATATAAGTAGGTATCGATACATTCGCTTGACTCATATAAGTCACGGTGGAGAGAATACAGAGGTGGCGCCGATGACGATACCGCTACTCGGCTCTCAGTGATTTTGACAGAATCAGCTGTTTTGGTGACGTCATAGTAGAGAAGACAGCAGTAGTGATGTGCTGAGTCAATACTTTTAAGTACCCAATACTCGCGATTATCGGTACCGAAACATTTAGGTTTCGAATAAAAGCGCACATAGGCCAAAAATATGGAAAAAACGCCTAACAAAACCGTTTACCGAGTTTTTTTACTGATTCAAATAAAAGATGTATATATGTCGGTTCGATGCCATAATACAGAGAAACGCTTACTTGTTTGAAGCATTTTTGTTCCAGCTGAATAGGACGATATCATTTTTGTAGGCCTGGGACAGATTCTGTAACCTGTTAACGGCAATTTTCGAATCGGTATCGGTTTAGTCGACGTTTAATATCAAATATTTGTAAAGTTCTGAACACATTGAAACGACGAGCTACCGACCACAGCTTCCAATTTGTCATCTTTATTATCTAAGCGCTTTGTCGATGGCAACATGATTTCTTTGAACGCGGCAGCGACATCATGAATTTGTATGAGTTTGACATAAAAGAAGAGGAAGAACCTTATCTGTCGCCAGAAAAATAGAAATAGATCTAATCTGGCCACAACCACAGCCGTCGCGTAGCCCGGTCGTCGCCAAAATAATTATCTACATAAGAGTACGTGTTAAAATAATTTGACAGCTGTGGTTTGTAGCTCGTCGTTTTCATTGTGTTCGGGCTATAAGTCAGCACGTGCGATATCGATCCGAAACTTGTCGCTAACTGGCTACAGAATCTCTCCCCTGAAAGGCTTCTTCATCCGTCAAAGTATTTTTCTTGAACCTTGGATCGACTAAGGTTAAAAATGATAAAATAATATTTTTCTGTGGCGATAAGTTCAAGTGTTTTATATCATATAAATTAGTAATGAAAGTTTTTTCTAAACCTGGAATGCATATAATGGCGAGGGTTTAATGTAAATAATCGGTATCGGATACCGAAAAGGAAGTATAGGGTACCGAAATCTTTTTTAAGTATTGGGTACCGAGTATTGGGGACAATTCAGCACATCACTAGTCGGCCTCATTCTCGCCGCTCTCAGTTGTCAACTCTAGGATGACGTCACGCTAAAATTACTCTCACGAATTCTGCTGCAATCGGCGCAATCTTGTATTCTATCATTCTTGCATATAAGTAGTATGGAAATAGCTATTTGAGTAAACTCATTTGAGTAGGTAACGATACTTTGATGGTATCGGAACGTCCCTAAGTTGGCTTCCATCACTAGAACTTGGCTGCGAGTGGTGTTGTGATTTTACACGGCAGATGTCGCGCACGTCAGCAGTGATAAGCATATATGTAATACATATACGGTGATGAGGTAAATCAATTTTCAAAGCAATAAATGGGTGCATTCACTATGGAAAGAAATATTTGTAATTAAGCTAAAGAACCTAACAAGGTACATTGAACAGGTAGTATCAGTAGAGCAGCTGATTTGAGTTATTTTCAAATTATTTGGTCTCGAAAATGTCAAATATTTTTAATTTTTTCTCACAAAAATTCTGAATTGTAAAAATCCATTTGCATGTGAAACCTTTTTCCATACAAAACAAGCGATTGAATAGCAGCTTTTGGAACGTTCGCCCAACTCAGCAGCACAACCGCTGATTACTGGGCCTTGCAAAGGATGGATCAATGCTTCGAGAAGCAAACAAATTTACTAGGAAAGAAAGTTGCATCAATTTTTATTTTTTCCAATTTCAATTTTTTATTTTTTATAATTTTTTGTATTTCACATGGCACGCTTTGATTTAGAAGAAAAAATTCAGAACAGTTTTTGACACTTTCGATACCAGAAGCAACAACAAAATACACGCAAATGTTGTTTTTGCTCTACTGATACTACCTGTTTAATGTGCCTTGGAACCTAAATCCATAACAAACAAAAAAGCTTGTATATATATCGGTTTACGACTTTACTCAATGGGCCGCATGAATAAAAACTAAGCAATTGCGTTTACTTTAAATTTCATATTTTCTACTTAAAGTTATTCGAACAAATCGAGTAAAAGATTTGAAGTTTTAAGAATAAGCAAGTGCTTAGGCTGCTTTTACGCAGTTCAACTATTGAATTCAATTCTGCTAGCATGTGGAAGAGACAGAGTGAGAAGAAAAGGGACGAGTACACATGCGTCTGTACCGTCAAGTCGTTTCAACTTTCTTGCTTTGCCTTTGGCATTTTCGTTGCTTCCCATTTCAAGAACCACAAACTTGAATTCAACAGAATTGAAACGTGTAAAAGCAAATAGAAAACACAAGAGAATGAGCAAGAATTGCTTTCAAGTACTTGAATCATGTAAATCGGGTGTTAGTTTTTATTCATACGGCTCAATATATATATTTGTAACCTTGAGAACTCGAAAGAAAGTCCATTATTGGTTTACTTATGTGGGTATACTGTGTCAAAACGTTTTATTAATCGAAAACTTAAATAAAATTAACTTATTACACTGGAACTATTTAATATGAGAATATGTGATAAACGTATTTAACCATTGTTCGTCTTCACCGGTGTGTGGATTGATTCGCTCTGCTAAAATGTCTATATTTTTCGAGTCGTTAAGTGCACTTTCATTTTGCGTTTTTATGATTCCTTTTGTTTCGTTCTTTCGTGCGTGTTCAGGGTTGCCGTCACCCTGGTTGAGTTTAGGCCGGTTGCCACATTGCTCCCCCCAGACTTTCACGTCCTGAAACGGACGGGGAGTCTTATCCTGCGTCCAGAACGGTTTGTTTGTGGCTCCGGCGAAGTAGTTTGCTTAAATGGCGATGCTTTCGCCGACGATGATGCTGAATCTTGTTGAGGCAAAGTTGTCGTTGATGATTCACCCGAATGAGTTTGATCTACTATCGGTGGTATTTCGTATGGATGACTACACTTTTGTTGAGCCGACGTTGTTGATGATTGTGTGTCTGGTTGACTGAATTCGAAGAATGCTGGCTTTAGTCGATCTATGGAGATATATACGTTGCTACAGTTGATTTGTACCGTAAAGTGCTTTGGATGTCTTGAGACTACGGGGTATGGACCATCATATGTTGGTTGAAATGCTGGCCTCATCTTGTCGTGCCGTACAAACCCATGCGTTGCGTCCGCGAGTTTTTTGAATACGAATGTTTTAGATGCATCGTGATTTGCGGTTTGAGTAGGACGCACTTTCTGCATTGTGTCAGCGAGTTGTTTGGCAAATTCTGATTGTGGGCGAATTACCTGAGTTTCGCTAAAAAACTGCCCCGGTAACCGCAATGTAGTACCGTAAACTAGTTGTGCAGCAGTTGTCCCAATATCGGGTTTAAAAGCTGTGCGTAGGCCTAGTAGGATCAGTGGTAGACGTTTTATCCAGTCTTGGCGTTCATGGCAAGTAATCGCTGTTTTCAGAGAGCGGTGCCAACGCTCGATAATACCATTCGCCTGTGAATGGTATGCTGTTGTGCGCAGGTGGGTTATGCCCAGCATACGTAACAGCTCATTGAACAGTTGAGATTCGAACTGTCTTCTCTGATCGGTAGTGATGCGTGCTGATATCCCGAACCTTGCAAACCAAACTGTTACGAGTTTCCTGGCGACTGTTTCTGTTGATATGTCCCTCACCGGTACGGCTTCAGGCCAACGCGTGTACCGGTCGATAATTGTAAGGCAGTACTGGTACTCATCCGACGGCGGAAGGGGTCCAATGAGGTCGATATTGATGTGTTCAAATCTGCATGCGGGCAGTGAAAATTGTTGTGCTGGCGCGCGAACGTGTCTGCTGACCTTAGCTTTTTGGCAGCTTAGGCAGTGTTGTACCTCCTTGTCGATGTCTTTACCCATATTTGGCCATACGAAGCGTTCTTTGACGAGTTTGGTGGTTGGGCGCACACCACCATGTGCGATGCAATGCATTTTCTCGATAATCAATCTGCGATGCGCTTGCGGTATAAACGGTCCAACTTCTGAAGTTGATGTATCACAGTAGATTATGTGATTCGTATTTGGTATACGAA